TTTTTTTTTTTTTTTGCTATTGAGATTTATAAGTGTGTGGTATTCTCGAATTTGATTAGCGCTATTATTTCAAGGGAAGTGGAGAAGATGATTCTAAGGAACTATAAATATGTTTTATTAAATTAATGGGAAAAAAATTCTTTTTATAAGATGTTGAATTTCATTTTTAAATCTTTTGAATAATTTTCTTTGAATGATAATAGATACAAATTATAGAAAAAAAAAAGAAAAAAATTTAATTGGGTCAATTTGCAGGTTGACCCGTGACTCGTGATGGGTGGGTTAGGGTTAGCCTTCATTGACTCGTAACCCATTTTAACCCAACCCGTTTTGACCCGTGACTTGTTCTGACCTGACCCTAACCCAACTCAACCCAACCCAACCCACATGTTTGCCAGGTCTAAACAAGATGCAGGGCCAAACAGTAAACAGATTTAAGGAAGCAAAACAAGTCACACATAAATGTCAAATAGCAAATTTTCAATAACTATTACCTTAAACTCACAAAGCAAATAGAATTAAGGATATATTTGAAAGCAAAGAGATTATGAAATATAAAAATAACACTACTTAGCTCTAAGAACTGGAATAAATTTGCCTTGTAGCTAGTTTTTTTCACTCCACACTTTTCTTAAATCAACTCTCCTTCCTTTTGAGTCAATTTGATTGCTAAGGCCTTTACTTGGTTATTTGAAAAATTATGAAACATTATAGTAAAGGTAAGAAATTATGGATCATCCACAGGAGAGTACCTTCAGTTAAAACATGCTTGCATAAGCAAGTATAAAAACAAACCAACACATGCATATTTCATTAGGCAGCAAATTTTGTTTCACTCTGATGGTGAAAAAAAAATTAATCTTATGAAATGAGATGTATGATTCATAATAGAAATAATGGAGCAAAATACATGTTCAACGAGCCAAACAACCAACCTTCACTACCAAGAAGCTAACTTGTGACATTGCACCACTTCTCTAAATTATGACATGTCTAGAGTTTAGTTGTGTGCTTTTTACTACTGTAATTGAAGTTATGCCAAAGTAAAGACATAGCACATAATAGAAGTCAGGCATAAATTAAAGACTAATTTCCATATAGTGCACAATATTCCTACTTTTCTTTTGTTTCTGGTCACTAGCAATCCCAACCTCACTTTGCAGGCTATGGGACTATTTGTTAAAATTGATTAAAAATTGATAAATTTTAATGATGACTGGAAATTGAGTTAAAATACCATAAAAAAGATTTGCACATAATATACTCTAAAGCAAATAAAAAAATACCAGTTACGACCTGCAAGTCAAGAGAGAAGGAAATCAAACATCATTTGATTCCAAGAGTCTTGAATCTCAAAGCTAGTATTTTTAATAGTATTGTCAAAAGTACTTGGCTTTCCCTTAGTTTTCATGCTTCATACACAAGTGCTACAAAAAAGAAAAGGCAATAATACTAGTATCACTCATTAACTTGATTTAAATTATTAGCTAATGGTATACATATAGTTCAAGCTTGTTTTTTAAGTGAGAAAATCATAAAGCAAGCAATCGAAGCTACCAATTTTGCAATAACAAAATCTAACCCCCCAAAAAAAAATCCCAAACAAATAAATGGCATGCAATCATTTTTTGATAGGTTAAATCTTCAATTTGGTCCCTGAACTATTGTATAGACCCCCAATTTGGTCTCTACTATTTACTAATTTGGTCTCTACTATTTACTAATTTAGTCTCAAGTTGGTCCTTCCATACAAAAAATAGCTAACGTGTTCATTACTTAATGACGAAAAACAATTACTTAACAACCACATATCACAATAATAATGAGACACGTCAGCTATTGTTTGTGTGGAAGGACCAACTTGGGGCAAATTGGTATATAGTAAGGACCAAATTGAGGGTTCGTACAATAGTTTAAGGACTAAATCAAGGATTTTTTTAGTTCAGGGACCAAATCAAGGGTCTATACAATAGTTCAGAGACTAAATTGGGGATTTAACCTTTTTGATATGGTATATCCAAATTGATAGATTCTGCTTTAACAAAATCAAGATATAATGAGCAATTTATTCTTGAAATCAAAGAAAAAGTTCAAATTACCTCTAAATTGAGCCAATAAATTTGAATCACAAGAGGAAATCAAGGTCGCAAAAAGGGAAATTTCAGATAAAGGGAAATCAATTGGTAGTGCTTGAGCTGGATGAGAAAAAAGAGGCTTTGGTGATGAAGGTGATCACAACAATGGTGGGTTACCAGTGACAATGGGCATTCACAGCGGTGGGTGCATACATGGTTGAGTGTTGGAGGACAAAGAGGACAGGGAAAGAAAAGATGAAGAGGACAAGGAGAAAGAGGAAAAAGGAATCGTTAGCAGGGTATCATTGACAACAAGTGTTGATGGAGGTGGTTATGTGGCTGGATCAGGTGTTGGTGAGTAGAGAAGGGGAAGATGCGATAGAGATGAAGGAAAGAGGGAAGAAGAGGAAAATAAGAATCATTGGATCTTCTAACCCTAGATCCAATGAATATGAACACAAAGATTCAAGTGAAGATTTGAGAGCTATAGAAGGACCTCTCATTATTGAAGTCCCGTCCAATGTGCAAATCTCTATAACACTTCATCTCTAACTCTCCAATCTCTTCACTTATAAGAGAGATCCAAAACGGTGAAGATGAAAAAAAAGCCAAGATCTGTAGCTTTTTTGCCAAAGGGTTTTAAGAGAAGAATCTTGGGTTGTTGAAGAGATGAGAGGAAGAGTACATTTTTCAGATACAAATCTAGATGAGGGGATAGAAAGAAGATGAGAATAATTTGGTTCTCTAAATTGACCTTAGCATAGGTACATAACCAAAGAAGAAAAAGGGGAAAAACAAGGAAATTGCTTATTTCATTTTATTTTCCCATTTCAAGTGCCAAAAAGTTCCACCCAAAATTTCCAATTATTGATGGTATTTCAAAACTGGTAGCTAAAATTGAGGAGATGACACAAATAACAACAGCATATTTAAGTGGTTATTAAAATCAATTTTTGAAAACCCTTCAATGATAGGATAAAAGTCCCACCATCATTCGTTGTTTTTTTTTTTTTTTTTACGATTATTAACAATGAGATTCCTAAAATTTGGGGAAAAACTAGTCAATAAGGAGTTAAACTTTCATGTTTTTACTATACAAGGAGCTAGACTTTCAAATTTTCTAATTAAGGAGTTGAATTTCTTAATTTTACTGATACATCAAATGCGCATTACTTTTAGGTAAGTGAACCTAATCGATTATGTAGTATAAGATGAATAAGATCTTGTTCCCTCAATGACTATTCTACACGACTACAATAATATTAATTTAACCTAAGTTGAATTAATCAATTAATGGAACAAAGTTAAACTACTTAAACTAAAGGAATTTTTTGAATAAAAGGAACTATGAATGGAAAGGAACTAGGTTTAGATTTCATTTAATTTTGAATTATGTAGTTGCTTAGTTAATCTAATTCAAGTTCAAATAACAATATTATCACATGAGATGATGGATTTCCCTCAATTAATTAACCAGTTCTCTTAAGTCAATTTAATCTTTCCCTTGCTTGTTAAATTAATCATATTTTTATGTAATTTAAAACAAACTAGTGAGCATTAAATTCTATGGAAACCTCTAGCTTAGGAAGGAGGAGCTCTTAACTCTCTTCTCTTCCTCCACTACCACATTTGATGCTAATTATTTCTTGGTCTCATAGTCTAACTCACAATTTATATTATTATTTGTCTAATTTATGTAAGTCTTTCTGAAGTTCATGCATAAATCACTAAATTAATTAAAAGGTGATCAAGCTTTCAATACATTAAATTCAATAGCATAAAATCATCATGTCAATAACAAATAGGTCTTGAATTAAACTAAAAAAAATACATATTCCAAAAATTAAAATCCATCAAACCCTAGTTCAAGTAATTTAGCCACAAATAATTAAGTTTAGAATAACCCTAAAAAACAAAGAGAAAATCCAGCGCAAAAACATTGTAAAGTTTAACAAGGAGGAATGAAAAGAACCAGTTTCCTAAGAATAAGAGCAAGGTTGAACTACTATTAGGCTTCTCTTCCTCAATGGCATGCGATTGTGGACTGTATGTTGCAGATTTCACAAGGCAAGGTTGGTAGAGAAGAAAACCAAAGGCAACATGTGTTCCCCTTCTATGTTTGCGAACGATGTAAATATATATAATATACCCTCTAGTTGTTTCCTTCTTTTTTTTTACCCATGTTCTACTAGGGCTTGTGAGTTTTTGGGCTTGGTTGGCTACCAGCCCACAACCTTGTTAACTAAATTTTCAACTCGATTCCCTTTTTTGAAATCTGCCCAACCTTTCCTATGTCAAAACTATGAATTTCAACTAGAATTTTGTCTTGAAATTGATTGAACTAGGTTGATCTTGTGAAAGATAAATTGCAGCTATGCTTCTTAGCTTTCTAATGCTTCAAGAATCACCTCAATCTGATATTTGGAGAGAAAGTTATGGTTGAATTACTACTGCATGCTCAAACTGCCACTTGTTGAAAAATTAATTCTCATTAAATTTGTTCTTTAAACTTCACCTACAAAACAATGAGATTGATGTAAATTTAGGTGAGACTAAGTTATAAAATACCAATAAAATTAATTTTTAAGATAAAAAAAGTAGATAAATGCATATAAAAATTAAACTCATCATTTACTAACCAAGGCATTATTGAACGTGAATTGCTGACATGGC